CCTACCTGGAGGGCTTGGGAATGCTTTTCCTGCAGGGTGTGAGATAATGATCGGGAAGTTGGAAGCTGGGGGTAGCAGCATTGGACAGAAGGTCAAAGGGTTCTGCATTGTCCAGAAAAGGCATCTCAGTTTTATATACAAACATGAAGAATGGTGATAGGGATGGCTTTTGGGGCCCAGGTAGTTGAGTTCTGTTTTGATCATATTTAGAATGACCAAAAGAAGTACTCATCTACCAGAGTGGAAAATCAGCATTGGGAGGAAAAAATAGAGACAGCTAGAATGAAGGAGGACAATAGAGAGAGGAAAGCAAGTAGTAAATGTGCCAAGTTTTTGGACACACAGAGAAATATAAATCTAGTTAAAGATAAAAGTACAAAAGCAGGCTAGGTGGTTACTTGAAAACTACTGGTGATTACAACTAGAACAGTGGTTTAAAAACCAACAAACAGACACAGAACCTCAACCCCATGTTTAGATGTTTAAAATGGCTATTGGCACATAAAGCATGAAGAGAGGAACAAAGTTAACCCTGGTGAAGATAAGCAAAGTTATGCAAGTGATGGAGTTACTGACAATTTTTTGTTGACTTTACATGCCTTGAAAATACAGTAAAATGTTGTCTTTGGTGTGGTTATGAGATGGGAAGGGGGGGTGTCAATGTTCCTTCCAGCTCCAGAAATCTGTGACACAGTGGAAAACTGGCTCAAACATAAACAGGCTCTGGGACACAAAGAAATGTTCAAAGAAGAAAACAGAGAATTGTACAACATGCACATTCTCAGATTATTATGTGATAATTTTAGCAATAAATCAAAGCATAATTATAGTGCCAACCTCACCAAACCTTTAAAAAGCAATTTTTTGAATAACATTTGAAATGAGTTAAACAGCTCCATAGAGAATGGGCGAGAATATTTATCTTAGCCATGGAAAGGATGTGAATTAGAAAAAATACCCTGTCAATCAAGTAAGTATTTTTCCATACCAAAAAAATCAAGTCAGTAAGAGGGTAGCTGAATAAGATAAACATTCATCAAATTAATTTACTCTCTCTTTCTCTCTCACACACACGTGCATGTGTGCATGCATGAGAAAGAGCAGCTTCCTGTCATCCCATCACAAAGGGAGCCCTTAGCCTTGAAGAATGACCTTAACATAGGATAGCATTAACATAGCACAGCATACTCCATGAACTCCTCAGGACAGTTTGAAAACCACGTCAATGGTCAGTTGGTTGGTCAGTGCCACTGTGTTATTCATCAGCTGCTTAATCCAATGGAAGACTAAAGACACAGGAAATCTGGGTACCAGTGTGGTAAGAGCTAACAGGAAAGGCCGGGAAGTGACTGTGGGATCTGCTGGGGACAGTGGCCAGACATTGTCAACCATCATGGCAATTGGGGAGATGCTGAGTTGGCGAGGACTGTGAAACATGATACTGTGAGGTGTCATTCTTTGTCTACGTGGCAGATGTCACTCCAGTCCTGCCTTGTACCTGCAGACACTGGTGAATCACAAACCTTCCAGACATCTTATCTTAGGGTATCTAAAAACCATCACAACTGAGGAAAGGGGATGCAGTATCTAACGGGGGTCAACTCTTCCTACAAAAAGGGCCTCAAAGGAAGAACAGGCATAGGGGACAGTTCTAAGTGTCCGTTTGCCACCTCACCTCCAGCTGAGCAACTTCCAACCCAGCCAAGAAGGTCTCTGAGCCTTGGGATCCTTTGCTTTTTATAGGCCCCTGTAGCCAGCGATACGGGGTCTCTGTAGGAGTTGAACACATACGGAGGTACATGCTGTGCTTAGCCCCCAGAGGATGGCTAAGTGACTCCATATTGTTGGAAACACACGTAAGTCTCAAGAAGGTACATGGGGCATCACATTAAAGGAAAGAAAGAGCAGGATGGTGTGTGTGTTCAGGGAGGAAAGCAAGTGATGGTCAGGGGAGCTGAGAGAATGCATCTTCCAGTCTCAGGAGGAAGTTTGTGCACACACAGGAAATATGTCACCCTCCAAAGAGACCGAGAATCCTGAGTGAACTGGACTAGAGTAACCTGCAACATCAAGAGGTTGCAGAAGTAGGAAACGCCTCTCATCATCCCATCCCAAAGGCAGGAAGCTCAGAACTCTCTCCTGTGACCCAAGTTCAACTGGGCACTGCAAATCCTTACAGCTGTCTGGCCTGCAGGATGGTATCTGAAAGTTAGACTGGGAATGCCTTAGTGGGGCTGCTCTCTCCAGGGCCCAGTTGCCCCCCCCCAATGCCCTGCACCCCAAGTTATACTCATTTCTTCTCATGGTCTGATCTACCAGTATCCTCCATCCCCCAAGGACAAGTGATCAATAAAAGAAAATCAGATGTGGTCAGACATCACAACCAAGAACCCCAAGAGCTTAATTAGGCTTCTAAAGATGGTCCTCTGGATAAGGGGGGCAATCCGGGTGCTGAAGAGGAAGCATTGGAGAAATGCCTGGCAATTCAAAAGGAAACAGGGCTGGAGGGAGGGATAGGAAGGGAAAACCGTGATGGTGGGGAGGGAAGACCAGACAGCTAGGGGAAAGGAGAGGTGTCCTTCAGACAGCTGCTTCTTGTCATTAGCTGGACTGGGTGCTTCCGCATCGGAACCAAGCAGTGTCCTCCCCACAGGCTAAAGAACTCACAAAGCAATCATCATCTCCCTTCTTTCTCTCTATGCTTTGAAGGGGACAGGATTAATGCTGGTCACCTCACAGGACTGTCCTGTATTTTGGGGACTCCAAGTGATGGGTTAAATGAGAATAAGCCAAAAGAACCAGGAGAAGTCATGTCCATTTTGATAACAGAGCAAAAAGAGGCAGGGAGCCGGGACCAGAAAGGGCAGGAAGGCAGAAGGCTCGCGTCTGGGAAGACCTTAGGGATGTTGAGCTCCAGAGTCACAAGGGAGAAAAGGGGGCATCTCTTTGTGTTATAATGGGATGGTTCTAAATTCCGGTAAAGAGACAAGGAAACACCGGATTCAGTTTTTTGTTGCTTTGGCTATTAGAGCAGTCTTCTTTGAAAGGAGCTGCTTTACAAAAATTATTTGGGTTACAGCCACATCAAACCCACTTCTTTGCAGAGAAAGGTGTGGAAAGGAAGAGACAACAGACTAGAATTTAGAATTTAAGAAGAAAACCCACTGAATTTCTATTAGTATAAAGAAGGCATCCAGATGGAACAGGTTCAGGTGAACACAGGAAAGAGGGGTAGTGAGAGTGAGAACTTGGATGCCGGAACCCTGAAAATGTCCAGGTAGGAGACGAGTAGCTGATGAGAACCCGGCTTCTCCGAATGGCCAGTCTGAGCTTCCTTGTGAAATCTTAGTCGGTGTGCCACAGAGGAATGAGCCACTTGCCCTCCCTTGAGTGGGCAGACTCTCACTGGCCACTCCCAGCTCCACACCCACGCGCGCGGCTCCTCAGCGGGAACACTCTAAGGTGCACCTGCCATTGCTCCCACAGAAACGCGTCTTAAAGTGCAGCAGAGACTCCTGCTGTGCCTGGAAAACGGAGAGCAGTTGAACCTTGCCTCACAGGACCTTGGTTGTTGGGTGGGAAAAGATGTTCTCGACACAGGCATGAGGGAAGAAAGCACTCGAAAAAGCCCAAACTGTGAAACTGCAGAGATGAAAATTGTTCCTCTTTCTAAATGACTAACAGTGGACCTCTGGGGGGGGGGGGTGCAGAATGACATGGGCTTCTAAGCTGGACCACCTCACACAAAGCACTTGAGTTCAGCTCTTGTGTCCCTTGTCCTTTCTGCCGTGCCATTTGCTGGCCAGCGGAACTCGTGGTTCCTGGCTAACCTTGGGAGGTCTTTCTTGGCTCATTAGGTCTATGGTTTGGGGCTCCTGCTTGAGGGTCCCTTTCCCCTGGCAGAATGTGTACATGACACCTCAAGGTGGTTCACCTGTCACCATGCCACCGGCAAGGCAAGCCGTTCTAGAGAGCACAGGGGCTCTGTCTGCTGTGAGTCCCGCACACACGTGTGGTTGCTGCCATGCTCTCCTGCAGTGGCTTTGTGCCTCTTCCTTTCCTCCTCTAGCCTTTCAGAGCTCTTCTCCTGCACAGGCCTCTTTCCCCGGGACTTCCACATTACAGTCTCCAACCCGCTCATTACTCAAATACACGCCAATGGTGAACAGTCTTGGGAGTGTGCCACACAAACCCCCCATTTCCCGCTTCATTCCGCAGAGGAATAACGTTATCACTTGATGGTAGCCCTGCCACACCACTCTCAGAATTCTCAGGGGCTCAGCTGCCTCTCGGCGAGTTCTAACTTCTTATCCCCACTCCATCTCCTCAGCCACCAGGCCTCTCTAGCAGCCCTTCCTCTAGTCCATCCATGCACAGCCAGCCAGGAACTTCTGGATGCAAGCCTCCTATGTTCTAGAATGCACTGGGTGCCCCTTTAGTCCTAAACTCCATTCATAGGTACACAAACTGGCGAGACCCCAGATCACGTTCCCCTTGGTTCGTCCTTGTCCCCTGTTTCTTTGAGCTCCATTTTACACTTCTGCCTCTTTCCAATTTGGAATGCCGAGCGTCTCTCGGTAAGTTTGAAATCGTGGACTTTCCCATGAGCACTGGCTTTGTGTGTGGTGCGTGGGTGTTTTTTACAAGGTGAAAACCCCCCCCCCCCCCCCCCCCCCCCCCCGCCAAAAAAAAATTCACGAACTCAGCCCTGTCTCCTAAACCAGATCGGCTGTCTACAGAAGCGCTTCCTCAATTTAAGAACTATTCAAATCCCCGGGGACTGGTTAAGAAACAGCCGCTGGTTCTGGTCTGGGCAGAGGTCTGGAGTCATGTTCTAAGTTCCCAGGTGTAGCTGGGATCCATTCACACCTGTTGATCACTCCCAAAGGGCTCATTTCGTGCAACACCGCGCGCCCAGGTGGAGAACCCCGAGGCCGAGATGCTCGGTCCTGTGAGGGCCCAGGAAGTAGAGTCATCGAGTGACCAGCCGGCTCACTTACCTATGGTGGACACCACAGTGCCCACGAAGTAGAAGGCACCGGTGAAGTCCCAGCGAGGGCGCACGCTGTCCATGCGGATGCCCGCCCTGGTGGCTTCCTCGTAATGACGGAGGAAGCCGCTCAGCTCTTCGTGGCTCAGGTTGTGGCTGGGGTTGAAGTTGGCCAGGCGCTCTTCCCAGCGCTGCTTGGCCTGCAGCTCGTGCGCCAGCTCTAGAGCCGAGAAGACTGCGGCGCCGCCCACCAGGTAGAGCAAGATGAGCCCCGCGAGCAGCAGGAAACGCGCGTTGTCCTCATTCAGGTGGCCCGGACCCCAGGCGCACCCGCGGCCGGCCATGGCACTGGAAGACAACCCCGCGAGGGCCGCCGCCCGCGGACTCGTGCCCACGCCCTGGGAGGATCTGGCTCTACCGGCCCTTAACCCGCTCCTCGTGCTGGCTCGCCCATGCCCCCCGCGCCCTCCCCCAGGCGGCGTGGATCCCCAGGCTGCTGCCCTGGCTGTTCCTGTGGCGCCAGCTCCCCAGCCCAGACTCGTGGTTTCGAATCCGCTTTGTCTCCGCTGCCTCCCGGTCCGCCCTGGAGTTCTCCTTAAGGCTGAAGATCAGAGCGTCCGGGGCGAGCGCTCCGGGGTTCACCCAGCCTCCTGATCCTGCTCAGATTGGGGAGGGGGCGTGGCGCGCCTTCAAGGCAAACTCCAGAGAACTTGGACTCATCTGGAAGAAAAGGCCGCGCGGGTTCAGACAAAATCGGCGGGGAAGGTGAGCATCAAGGTTCGGGTTCCTCGGACCATCGCTTTCCAAGCTGTGTCCGCTGTCTGCCGTGCCGATCCCGATGGATCTGCGGTGCGTATTGGTGGCGGTGTCCTGATGAGTCTCTGTCCTCCCGAATCACCCAGGCTTGGGGCAGGCACGGACGTAGGGGCAGTGCGGAGAGGCAGATCTGATGATGTGCTGCCGGCTCGGATGTCGGCCAGGCACACAGGCTCGGCGGCAGCACGAGGGCGGACCGCTATGGAGGAGAACAGAGGGGGAGGTTGGAACAGTGAAGGAAGTTAGGAGCATCCTCCCAGGCAGCCCTCCTCGACTTCCCCCTAACCAGAGCGCCCTGGACCTTTAGGCCCTTCACCGAGCGCTCTCTGTCGCCACGTGCCGGCCCTGCCAGCCCATCCCTCGGAGAACCGGCCAAGGACAGCAGCCAGGAGAGTTCCATCTCTTCTACCCGGGCTTGACTGCCTCGGCTTCGTAGTTCTGGCGCAGTCAAGGGCTTTGCGCCCAGTACTCCTAGCTCCAGCATGCCAGCCAGCAGCAATGGCTGGGGAACCCACCCTGAGACCCCAACTTGCCGCCGCTGCGCTCGGGTCTTACTCCCCTCCCCCACAAACGCACCTGTTCTGTGGGATAGGTTCAGGGTGGTCCCTGGCTCCCGAGTGGGGCTGGGGGCCGAGGTCCGTCCCCGTGCCCGGTGCTGCCCTCTCTGCGGGGCGGCTCGAACATTGCAACAGGTGGAGCCCTTCTGCGGCAAACCACGGCGGCGACTCCACCCCGAGTCCGCCTCTCGGCCCCAGGGCCAGTCTCCTGCGCTGGTCTCTACCCGCACTCGCCGGAAGCTCTGAAGGCCAACCTCGGAGCAGTGATGCTCCCACACGGGTGTGCGGATGCCTGGAGTGGTTGCTTAAGAGCAAGGTCGACAGCCTCGGTGGTCGGCGTGGGTCCCTCTGGGGCCAGGAGAGGGCGCTGCGTGCCCTTTAGACACACCTGGTCCCCAGCGGGTTATCCATTAGGACACCATCTACTGCACAGGGGAGCGA